ATTTAGAATCCAAATTCCTAGGGCCCCGGTCAAGTTAGGTTTTTGTATTTCCTACTAGCATTGTATTTATTCATCATAAAAATCAATATATTTTTTTTTTAACCTGTCAAAAATAAAAATAAAAAACACCTTGTTTTAATTTACTTATTACTTATTATATTAAAGTTCCCCCAATTATAGTTATAAGTTTTACCAATACACATTACAGCTAACCTTTTAGGATTGTTCATAAGACAAGGTCACTGATTTTAGGATTGTTAATTCAACCAAACGTTTAAACGGATTCATTTACCAATTAGAAGCTTGTAGCTAGTATTTGCTTCGAGATAGGATAGAGGATTCTGGTGTTTACTTTTTGTACTACGAGAAGTCTAATACTTATCACACATTATCTTGTTTAGCAAGTGGCTCAAACGAAAATTAAAGAGGATTGGTTGTAGACTGCTTAGTGGTGATTGGTGAACATCAGTAAACTTCATTTTAATCTCATCTTAAAAGAGAGGAGGGGAAGACTTCATTTTAATTGGCATTTGAAATACTTTAATTATTATATACTGTTATGTAGCAACTTGCCATCTTGCTGACTAACTTTCATTTTAATTGCATGCATCTTAAGAGAGAGGAGGGGAAGACTTCATCTTTAACAGAGAGGAGGAAAAAAAAGTAGCAACTTCATTTGGACATGTTAGCAAGAAGTGTAAGTAAGGGAACAAAACACAGTTTATTTTGCATAGGTATGGATAACAAATTAACAATTCATAATATCCAATAATAGAATAGTGGTAACTTAAAGGGTAGTTGTTGATAGATTTTCCTAAAAAACATATTACTCTTGGTTGAAATCTTGACACTAGTCACTATAGAGTATATGAGTTTATCTTAGAGCTGATCGAAGTTGGCCCGACCCGAATTTGGGCGAGTTTTGGGCAGATTGTTCCAGTCCGAAATATTTTCAAAAATTTTGAGCGGGCTTGGGAAGATGCGACGTTTTTATGCAACTGTGGTTGATTTTTTTCCTGGCCCGAAAGCCCGCACGGTCCGGCCATTTTGGACGGATTTGGGGCAGATTTTTCCGGCCCAAAATCTTTTCAAAAATTTTTAACGGGCTTGGGAAGACGTTTTAATGCAATTTTAGTTTTTTTTTCCCGGCCTGAAAGCCCGCACGGCCCGGCCATTATGGGCGGGTTTGGGCACGTAATTTTAGGCCCGAGGTTTGGCCCAGTCCAAGAAATGTGCTGCTTTTCTTGCCTCGGCCCGGGCTGAACCCGTCCGCTCTGTCGCCCTGCCCAATGATCATCACCTCTAGTTAGTCTTCTATATCATTTATAATATAAAAGAAAAATAGTTATGTGGTGTCTTCTTTTTGGTGCTAAGAGAGGCACAAGGGCGGGGATGAGAATTGATCTCATAATCTCCTGAAACCGGGAAGGAAGCTTTAGCCACTTGAGTTATCTCTCACTCTAATGTGGTATCTTCTTTAATTCGCCTCACTAAGTGCTTTAAGAATATCAAATTCTCAATTATAGTTTGTTTTTACTAATACATAATATATGTATCTATCGATCAATTTACACATTCAGTTTAAGAATATCATCTTTTAGGAGGTAGTAATTTGAAAAGAAAAAAGATATAAACCTTTTGAACCACATAGATTAACCCTAATGTTCACTTTCAAAGCTATCTTCTTGTACTCCTTGTGATATAATTGATACCATAAAAATAAAAATAAAAAATAAAAAGGAGGATTGACATAGACATGAACAAGGTCATAATTAGCTACTCAGGATTTCTGCTAAAAGAAGTATTCATAATACTAGCATGCAATGCTTACTACAAGATATTGGTTGGTTCCACCAAATTACAATATGCCGACCCAAATTATTTTTTTAATTAGAGATCCCACCAAAAAGCTTTTAGTATGTGGTGTTAAAATTATGGTGAGTTTATTCTTTGTTTGACCACTTCATATGTGAATCAAATAACGCGTTTGAGTGGTGTAATTATGCATATTTTTATCAATTGTCTTTAGCCAATTACTCAATGGATTCCTATTAATGCCGAATATGTTCGTCGAAAATGTTAAATACTGATTTTTTTTTTTTTCTCTAAAGTGTGTTCTTTTTAATTTACATTGACATATAGTAAGTTTCTAAAGAATGTTCACTTTAGTTAACATTGAGTACAATGAGTTACGAAAGAGAAATTCAAATTCAAGCATCACAACTGCCTGTTGAAAAATGGAAATCTCTTGTATACATTGTTGGAATATATAACTTTACATTAGAGATGGTTTAACAATTTATCGTAATCACGATGATGATTTTCATTTGATCCATTTAATTAAAATTGGAAAAAAATGATAACTATATGCTAATCCGGCCACATAATTCTTTACGAATGAACCAAATTCATGAGACTCCATCAATAATTAGCTATATTCAAAATAATCAAATTATCCAAAAGGAGAACACACTACACCCAAATGATGTTAATTTTATTGAAATTAATGACAAAAACATGAAAGATTAAAAAGTACCAATAGAATGCATCTTTCTTTGAGAGAGCTTGTTTAGTAAGACACTCCATAGGTTTTGGGAGTAGTCCCAAAATGACTGACCATCATGAATGAAGAAAAAATGTGCCGATTGGTTTTGTTTTGGTAACATGTTAGCATGAAGTATGATTCTTTTTTGAAGTCCAACATTAAGCAATAAGTTTTGTATAAGGTGAACTTACGTCAATGTTTTGTATGACGGACGACGGTTAATTATTTATTTTTTGGTGTGTAAAGAGCCATAAGGGCAAGAGTGAGAATCGAACCCAAGATCTTCTTGAATCGAGAGGAAAGGTCTAAGCACTTAAGCTATCCCTCACTCTCACTTTGAGGAAAACTTTAACATTGTCAAAAAAAATAAAAATAAAAATAAAATAAAAAATTTATGGTAACTTTAATTCCTTTAAGTATAACTTGTAATTTATGATGATTTTGATTTTATTTTAATGTGTAATTTTTGATAGATGCTATAAAAGCTAATATGATTAATATAATACATTATAAGTATTTATTTAGAATAATTTATGCTACAAAAATGAAAACTTTGTAATATCTAAGAGTAACTTGAAATACTTTTAGAATAATTTTAACCCGTATTAATAAAAGTCCGCCTTAGTAAAATAATTGTGAACACCAAATCAATTATCAAAGTGCGACAACATAACACTAAAACTTGTTTTAAAACAAAATAAGCCCACATAATAGTAGGATCCTTTATAAAACAAACAGCTACTTAAAAATTATAAAGGGTTATGAATTTAATCCGGTGTGTCAAATTTGATCCATTCCAATTCTGTCAGGCCCAATAAATATTTGGATGGCCAGGAACTAAAATGATTGAGTCAATCTTAAGAACTAACCCAGCCCAAATTGATTTCACAGATTAGCTACCATGAAAATATTGACACACGTTAGCCCAAGATCTAAGCCCAATACTTGTTCAAAAAAAAAAAAAAAAAAGATCTAAGCCCAATACAATATATTTTACATAATTTATTTTATTTCCAGAAAACCAAAATGGGTTTTAAGCTACCTTTATCGCTTTGGCATATTTGGTAACTTTATAAATTGTGGAAACGATAATAGTAGTATTTATACACAAAGTATTATATGTGGCTGGCTATATCTACTTTGTTAGTGAAATAGGGGATACTTGGTCAGTATTAAAGAGGTTACTTCGTTAGTGTAATAGTGGTTACTCAATCGGTATTATAGGGGTTACTTGGTCAATGTTATAGGAGTTACTTTTTTTTTTAGTGGTCACACGAAGTGGCTAACCACACACAAGACGGGCTGCACTAGTTACCCTCTTATAAAAAACATGACCACTCCACTTCAATGACCTCTACCTCAATTAAATATGATACAATTGCATTATCTTTACTAAATTAATGAGCCCTAATTGAACACATTAAATGACTCCAAGGTGGAATGTTAAGATGGTAACACATATATAGACCTTGATTATTATACAATTACAAAGGGTGAACACAAGTACAAATTTTGGCATTATATCAGCATATTATATAAACTATATATGAAAGCACAAATTTATAAGTATAAGCCAATATAAATCTATAGCATTTTAACAAAATAATTATAAATTCAAATTATAATTAGGACAGTACAAGGGAGAAGATATTTATAGAGTGATTTTTGTCAACATTGTAGGTTTGCATAGTATGTGTCGATGAGATTTGAGAGCTACAAGGACAAATGATGTAGACGGTTTTGATCTGAAGTATAGAATGCAATCCCATAATAATTTAACTAATAATATTAATTGATTATACACTGCACAATATGATTTACAAATGACAAAGAATAATAGGAAATGCCATGAATGATTCGAATGATCAAGGAAGTTATGGACTCGTGGTGCTTGTTACTAGGGCCAAGGCTGTCAGCTGCATTTCTAAATTTTATCTCAGATTGTAATTTTCTTGTAAAGTTAATTTCATTTCAATTTTCTAAATATGTCAGATAAGAAGTTCTCTTTTTCAAAAGATGTTATTTGGATTTTTCTAAGACTCTTGAGCTTTGAGCTAGGCTTATTTTACAAACTCTTACGAATTACAGAAAAGGTTAGGCTAAAATTACTAAAAGAAATTAAAACTTTGCTTCTCATAACCACACAATTATGGAATCAACCTCATTAGGGAGTACTTTGAGGCGGGAATTCCCTTAACTCTCCCCTCCTTTCCCAAGAGGTGTTCGCCTTACTTATAAAGAAGCGAAAACAAAACATAAGATTGTTTTTTTCTTTTTTTTGTTTCACTTCTGTTTGGGCCACTTCTACCAGAGCTCTTAGAAGATAGAATTCATGAGTTTCAGCAGGATAAACCCAAAAAAAAAAATAAAAAAAAATAAATAAATAAAGTAGCAGAAATACTAGTCTAAAGTGCAACAGAAAGGAATGGAGTAATCAGAAGTGGGTCACCAGAAAGAAACCATAAATGGACCTTATATTAAATGCATTATACACAGTAAATTTTACAAGCTTCAAAGATTAAATAAGATCAATTTTGAAGCTGGTATGTTGTCCTAATGGTAACATCAATTACACTGCCTTGCAAGTTGAAAAGTCAAAGAATCAATGGCAAGAGAATTCTCCAAACAAGTTGTATAACTCAAGTTCACATCACTACATTTGATTATTGAAATAAGAAATCCATTACATACTAGTTTAACACAACAAAGACAATACAATTACAAGTGACTACATATATGTCAACTGTATTGTTGATTTCAAAACGCAATTGTGAGTTCTTTTGAAATGCGATTGTGGTTCCAAATCATTCAATGATGCGAAACCCATCTTTCTCTTCATATAGTTCAGCCTTCTTCTCCTTGGAGCATGTGAATCCCCACTATCCAAATTCTCTTCATCTAGTTTAGCCTTCTTCTCCTTGGAGCACGAGAATCCCCACTATCCATATCTGAGGTTCTAGAAGGGTCATGCCTTCGCCTTGAGGTTGATGTAGAGATGGACACCAAGGAATCTATCTCAACAGCTGTATCCATTGTTTGGCTCTCTCCATGAATTGCAGCAGCTATGCTTGAGAAAGAATCGCGGTCATCTACTGGTGGTGGCTGAACATCTTGGCTCCTTCTTGGTGGAGATCGATGTAGATATGCATCAACATACCTATCTGCAGCAGCAGCAGCGGCGGCAGGTGAGAGAGCAGCACCACTTCTATGCAACTGTCCTCTTCGATAGGTTAAAGGTGGAAGCCTGCGAGGGAGGATCTCAGGTCTGTCCTGTGTCAAGTCAACCACTTCATCAGGAGCTATGGGAGGATTCTGCTCCCTAAGCAATGCACGGCTAGTCATAAACCGATTTAGGATAGAAGCCCTTGTGGGCATTTCTGCATCACCATCAGCATTTGGGAGCTGAAAATAATCCCTGGTTAATTCAAAACGAGCTCCAAGACGCCTAATCATCTCCTCCATTGGGAAAGATGAGGCTGTCCTTTGAATAGTTTGCCTCAGGCTCTCAACTCGTCGTGCTGAGGGCCTCCCAGGGATCTTAATACCTAAATCTAAATCATCCTCTGGCTCATGAATGTGGTTTCCACGTCCATAAATTGGAGTGACATTCTTAACCGAGACTTCTCCTTTACAGACAGGGCATTCCTTGGCCTCTGAATGAATTTGCAACCACCGATAGATGCAGGGCCAACAAAACAAATGGCCACAACAAGTAACAACCGGTTCTTTGGCCAAATCAAAACATATATTACAATCGAAAAAACTGCCCTCCTCCGAGTTAGGCTTTTCAACATCTTTCTCAGCAACCGAATCGTTCTCTACAGGAATTACATTGTTCTCACAAGTCTTGACCACTTCATGGCTTCTTAGCTCAGCAGTAACACTCCCTTCACCGGCTAGTATTGTTCCACCATTATCCTCTCCATCAACACCCGAGCCAACACCAGGATCACCACCATTAACATCCGGCTCAACCATTAATCGCAGAGAATGCGGTCCCAACGGAAGCTGGCCTTGCCTCCAACGCCACCGATGCCTACTTCTCTGCCTAAGAGCCTCCCTAACATAAGTTGATTCCCACCCAATAACGTTCACTGATTCGCCTGATGACGGCCCCGTTCCCGGGCCTATCACGGGCGACGGGGGAGACCCAGGCCCTAAATTTAAGTCCAAATTCATCAAATCTTCCGTTCGATCAGCCATCACTTCTCAAACAAACACCGATTGGGGAAAATTATAAACCCTACTCTAACTCCCTAATTGAACCCAAAATTCAATCAAAAATCTCAATTTCAACAACATAGCATCTCAAATCTCCTACCAATTCTGGAGAAAACCAAAATTCAATACAAACCCTAATCCTTTTCCATCAATCAAGAATGACCCAAAAAGACCAAATTACAACCAATCAAGAAAACCCCAGATGGAAAAAGACAATTAAAAACATCTAAACATCAAAAAAATAAGAAAACCCAATTAATTGAGTTTCAAAACAACAAAACCCAAGAAAAAAATTTCGACAACCATTTATAATTCCACAACCTAATTCAACAAATTAAAAGTGAAATTCAAGAAATCATGTAAGAACAGATAGAATGAAACCTGAAAAGTAATGAATTGATTTCACCAGTGCCTGGTAAGAGAAAAAGATTGAATTTTTTGCATTAGTTTGAAGGGAGAAGAAAGTTGGGGTTGATTGGAAGTGAAGAAATCCAGAAATTGCAGCATCAAATTGTCTCTCTTTTGACTTCAATTGGGCGATCGAGAGGAGCAAAGAGGAGCCATGAGAGAAGTAATTGAACACCCTTTTGGAGCAGAAACAGAAGAGAGAGAAAGAGAGAGAAGGGAGGAAAGAGAAAGAGGAGGAAAGTCAGCAAAATTTTGGGGGAGTGTAAGAAGACAGTTTTTTCTGTAGTGAAAGAAAGAGGTGGGTGTTCTTCCTTTCTTGGCCTTTGACCATAAAAGCCCATTCAATTCATGGATTGGCCTCTTGCATTGGTTTCAAGGTGAGACAAACCCATTTCTGTATGGCTGTAATTCCTGTAAAAGCTTAATTGAATGGAGATGTCAATTCAGGCCGGGGCAATTTTAAATTTAAATCTTGCTAAATTAGTGTGTTCGTGCAGGTCAAATCCTAAATTAAATTACTTCGATTTAAGTTGGGTTGTTTCAGGTCGGTTGTGTTGTTTGTTTTAACACCTTCATCCATTTAGATATACAGTGATGTGTGCGAGATTTGTCGATGCACGGATAACAAATAAATTGAGGAAAGTTGTATATTATAAAATAGTTTTGAAACCAAATTGCCAATACACAACTTACCATAATAATCATCTTAAACCCATGGTAAGAAATGATAAAGATAAACAAATGAAGGTAGGGGATGTGATAATAAAAGATGAATAATGAAGGGGGAGAGTTTGGCTTGGTAGCCAAAGCGATCTTTATTTACGAGAAAGAAAACAACAATATTCGTTTATTTCTCCCAGCCTAGTTCAAATCAAATGTTATTAAATAAAAAAACATCTTTCCCAAGAAGAATTACAAAATTAAAATCATAATTAATGAAATCATGTTTAGATTAGTCGGGAAATTTTTTCAGTGTGAAGTTGCCATGTATACAATCATGATGTTAATAGTGCTTAATTGTTTCAGTTTTAGGGCCTGTTCTAATAGAATAAAATCAGCTGAACTGAACTGAACTGAAATAAATATTTTATAAGAGAAGGAAATTAGGAGCTGAACTGAACTGAACTGAAAATAAACATATGAGAATAGACCCAGCCTTAATCTATTTGAACTTAGTTTGGACTTATTTAGTTGATTTTCTCATTCTAGCCATAAGAATTGTTTCTGCCAATTTCATCAATATCAACTACAATATTAAAATCAAACAACATTTAATATTGACTTTCATGATAACAAATATTAAAATCGGTATCAACAAATTACGAATCATTAAATTCAACAAAATCCATGAGAAAATAAAAGATCATAATATTTATAACAAAATGAATTCACCCCCAAATCTGTAAAAATTGATTCCAAAAAAACCCTAAAAATCAGATAACACGCAATCAAACCAATTCAACAATGATTAAACAGTAATTAACTGAAAATAAGCAAGTAGAAAACTTAATTTTGTAACAGATGACACATTCGAAGAACTTTAAGAGATTGGGTGCATGGACTGCTGTTGGCCAACGCCGCCTCCTCTTTCTTTTACAGAAACCCAATTACTGGTGATGTGTTTATTGTTGATCCAAAACATAACCGATGAAGCTAAATGGGGGGGGAAAGACGGTAAAAAAAAGGAGGGCTATAAAGGAGGGATTTGGAACCATCGCACGACGACCAATTGATGAAGAGGGAAAAGTAGATGGAGAGTGAATGAGTACGATATCAACATAAATGGGGCCACTGGGTGAAATAAGATTTTTCTGATTTTGTCTATATATAATTGTAAAATGGTGATGGGGACCACAAATATATCACTTTAATATTTCAAAATGTACTGTACATACCATTTTAGTTATTTAGTACCATTACAACCGTTTATACTTCACAATTAGATGATACTGATGCTACCTTTCAAAATATTTACGTAAATGTCATGTTATGTATGTAATTATACATATTGCACTTCCTCTATTGTTATGTAGGGTATAATTGATTAAAATTGTTTTGATATGTAGTTTCTGAAAAGTATTTTTTAATAATTTTTTTAATACAAAATTAATTAAAGATTTTGAAACATAGAGAAATATATTAAAACATCAAAGAAAACAGAGGGAGTATACATTCTACTTTTAATATGTGTGCCAAATTATAAGAGAATAATAATATGAGATTGCAGATTGCAATACCCACATCTATTTCAGGTTAAAACTGACACATGCTAATGCACAACTTTGATAGTTTGATCATTTATATTTTCAGTAATTACAAAAGCTTTTTGAGGGCGACCAATGTTCATTTATAGTATCAAACCTCTCGATTTAGGATATCTTTTAACCTATATTACTTTTATTTTACTCCTTCCGTTCTAGAATAGTTGAACAGATCAACCTTGACACACTTTTCAATGCACAAATTTGACTGTTAACATACTTCTTGCGCATATTAGTTGACACATTTCATTTAGGCATGTTTGCCAACGCATAATTTTTAATGTAAATATATTTAAATGAAATAAGCATTTGCAAAAATTATAAAAATTTGATACTTTCTCCATTCTGAATAATTAACCTACCACACATACATGACAATGCAATAGTTTGACCTTGGGTATTGTAGGCGTCATTCAAAGCGCCCCTGCGTTAAGTATGTTGTGAATATGCTTGACACTCATAGGAAATGAGAATTGACATATACAATTAAGGACACGATTAGGGACAAAGCAAAGTAGGGAGCCGCCAACAACTTTTTTAAGGAACTTTTAAACCATTCACGGATCAACTAAGGCAACCACGAATAAGGGACAACGAAAGGCAATAACGATTGACCCGTGAAGGTTACACCCCATTCATAATCCATGGAATTACTAACTCCGTATGGTTCAAAACCACGAAAAGAGGACCGGGGATGATGGTACGAAGTGAGTCGTGGAAAAACATTTGCCTGTATTGGCCTCTACTTGATTCTTACAGTGAAAGCAATTCATGCAATCTCAAAGACATGCAAACAAAGATTCAATTTGCTCCACATTAATACATGATAAATTGGTTGAATATTGATGCAACACTTAATTCTAAAATATTGTGATCACTTTGATTAAATAACAAGATTAAAAAGGATCCTAAACCGGTCGTCCAAATTATCTTATTAGGCGTTATATTCAATTACATATTCCCTTTAAAAATGCAATATGGTAATCAATAAAAATATAAAAAAATTAACTTCAACATTGGAAGCAATTTAACAATAAATCATTAATCAAATCAAATCATAATAATAACCCTAATGATACTAGAAATAAGAATAAAAATAGGAGTACTTCAGTGAATTAATTACTCGCTTTCCGCGTTTCTTTAAATCGCTACATCATGAATAAATTGTTAGTAACTTCAATAAATATATAAATCAAATTGAAACAATTAAATTAAATTAAAAGTAGAGTAGATTTGGTCCAAACCCTCAATCAGTTCTACCTTTCATGCATTGGTTTAAGTATGGAACTTCGGGTGTTATATGGACTCCTTGGAGTGCTAAAGGCTTAGAATAAAAGAGAGAGGAAAGAATATTTTTTGGTGTATAAGAGAGGAAGAGAGAATGATTTGGTGCCCCGAAACTGTGAAAATCAGCTTCGTATTTATAGAGGAAATACGAATGGTGAAGTACGGAACCCTAGAATTGAAGGCGTTGTGAAGCAAAACCCTAAAAAATGTCGTGTCACGGCATGTGTGCCACGACACGGTAGTATTTCTACCTTGGCTCGGTATTTTCCAGTTTTCACGCATTTTTAAAACTATGATAGCTTTTGATCAGTTACTCAGAATAAGACATATAATATATCGTTGGAAAGATTATCAAGTCTAATGTCCAAATCAATTAGAATTAGGTCAAAATATTTTATAGATTTTAAAATATGGCCGTTTCAGTGAAAGGGTGTCGATTTTAGGCCGAGCTTAGTGTTTTGCTTATATCTTCTTCGTTTTAAATCGGAATTGGGCTTATGATATACCGTTTATTGAAAGGCCTATCCAACCAAATCAATTTATCTCGGTTTTGTGATGTGTCACGAAAAGTTGAAAGTAAGTTATGGTTTTGGCAAATGGGCTAAGAATTAGGTAGGTTTATGAAATGTGTTGGATTGAATATGGATTTAATCATTCCAAAGATTATATACTCAACCCGACCAATAATGGAGGCTAAAGGTTGTTCATCATCAAGTTGGTTTTGGGGAGATAATTTTAGGTATCTACAGGTATATGTATTAACTATTTATTTAATATCTTCAAAAGTGGATACTATAATACTTTATTTTAATACCTACTTCCTTCAATTCTTTTTGGTCGACACGTTTCTTCAATCACGTTTGTCAATGCACAAATTCAAAAATTAATATCTTTAATTATTGATAAAATAAGCAAAATTTATAAACAGTTGATATTTTGAAAAAAAAAAAAATTAACAACAAAGGTAGTATTTTTTTTTTTTTTGAAAAAGGTAAAAAATTATATTAATAGCTCAGCAACACAAACAACAATATAGACCTAAAGGTCACAAAAAAAAAAAAAAAAATTAAACCACTCAATTTTCTTTCTACTAGTTTTAGCAGAGAAACGAATACCCACACCCCTTACACCCAGCAAAGCACAAATTACAGCCAATGCAAAGCATTAAACCACTCAATTTTCTTTCTACTAGTTTTAGCAGGCATCACATGAGTAATTCTATGATAGATATCTCTACATAAATTCTGGATCAGCTTCTCAGGCTTCATGCTCTTATCCCAAACTGCCTTGTTTCTTTGACACCAAATACAATACAGCAGCCCTGCATAGCAGCTAGACCTGGTTATTGGGCGGGTCGGGTCAGGGTCGGTGCGGGTCGGTTGCGGGTCAGGGTCAAAGAGGGTCACATTTTATAGGGTTGAGACAATGCGGGTCGCGGGTCGATAATGGGCAGGCCTACAAAATATCAATTAAAATAAATATTGGACAAAGCCATTATTAAATACATATGAATACAAATTAATCTATATAATTATTTTTACATTATGTATTTTCTTTATCAACTAAATTGGAAAAACAAGTTGGCCCTATATTGACCCTACCTAATAAGGGCCCTGTCCATTAATAGCCATGTCCATTAAAAGCCCTATAAGCTTGGACCTGACCCTATTATCATTGGGCTACCCTGTCCAATAACCACCTCTAATAGCAGCTCTGAAACACTTGTCTCTGAAACCTGCCCTTGATTTTCAGCAGCTTCTGATTACAATCTTCTAAGGAAGAAAAGTTAACAAATTGACCAATTCTGGTATGAAG